AAAAAAAAAAAAAAAAAAGGGGGGGGGGGTGTTAAATAGGTTTTGTGGTGCTTGGCTATGATGTGCCAAAACACATCTTTGTTGTGCCTGCTGAGACAAGCAAGAACTGTGGAAAGGCTAAGAGGAACAGAAAGCATTAATATTTTAGAAAACAATGTAAATTACACTAAAATCCTGACATAGCTGAGCAAGGAGCAAACAGCGGAAAGCAAACAGTATTGTTCAGCTGCTCTATACTCAGGGGGCCAAGAAAGCTAATTTTATTTTATATTTTTTTTGCTAGAAGAATACAAAGACCAGACACTGATTCAGGTTGGCACTTCTCTTCTTTTCATTTATAATGGGCGTGCAGTTCTTGTAATGGCCAGGCGTACAAAGAGATCATTAACGTGAGCAGAAGCAGCAGCAAAGCTTAAAATTCACAGGGGGTGTCTCCACTTACAGAACTGCAGCAAAAGCAGCTGTGTTCAACAACTTTGCCTAGCCAGCAACAAATCTTCTGTCAAAAAGTGGTCCCAAGACATGGCTTCCTATTCGGTGTGATTTAACCCTACCCCCCACACATCAAAATGCTTTTGTCAGAACATGTGCCGGGCTGCCTCTCAGAGGCTGTCACTCATGAAACACCTTGGGCTGCGTGTTCCCATATCTGTACTAGTCCTTTCAAGGAGGGAAAACAATTCAAAGATGTTTACATTCAATATAGGGTTTTCTGCCTTTTTTTTTTCCTCCCTGAGGAAGCAGGTGAACTAGTTCAGTAATGAGGGCAGAATCCCGCTTCACATTCAGACATGTAGATTCGTGCATTTAAACATAGATGCCTGTGGGTGAGACAATAAGGACTCATTTGTGTTGCCCAAGAGTAGTGTTACTCGAGACTCTCCAGCATGTCTGACATGAAGATGACACAGGACACCAGCTCCCACCTGGACCAGAGCCTGGGCAAGAACTGCTACAGCATTTTAAAAATCATCGATGTTAAGAGACCCCTAATATCCTCTCAGTGAAGTCAATGAGGCAGTTTTCAACTGCCTAAACCCACTTAGCCACTGATACGTGAGATGGTTTGAATAGTCAAGACATCTTGACTATGGAGCTGCCAAATAAGGCACTGGACCTGCGGGATATTCAAACCTTACCAGTGTAGTAGAAAGGCACCAAGCAGCATATCCCTCAGTGGCTAAAGTGGCTCTTGAGACTCAATTCAGATGCCTAAAGAAAGACACTTAATATAATTTTAGGTGCCCCAGATGTACAAGATCTCCACCTCAAGCCTGTAGATACAATGCAGGACCTATGTGCAAGTCACACCTTTCAGGGCTAGTAAAGAGGAGGAATAACTAAGAGCATTCAAATGGCAGCAGATGTCTATGTTTGTGCAACTAAATCCCAGCAGATGAAATCTAATGAACTAGTCATCTGGCCGAAGGCACATGGGACTCCAACAGCTGTCCCTGCTCCACTGATGAATAAACTCCTGACTAGTTTGGACTGGATCTTGTGTTGACTAGATTTGGCAAGAGTGGGACTCTGCTCATAAGCAGACACTTGCATTTAGACATACAAGTTTTGGCATCTGTATAGACCTAAAGATGAATCTTCAGCCCATTTCATTCTTTTGGGTTTGTGCCCTAAAAGCCAAGAGGCTCATTTGCCTGGCAATTTAAGCATCCACCTGACCTTTAGGCAATCATAGGATAATGGATTTCTTATGACTTGCATCCAGTATAGCTCCCTTACACATCTAGGTGAGGTGCACTGGACTGTTCTCCTGAGAAGTTAACCCCTCCAGGCCAGGAACGCTTTGGGGATCACCAGATGCCAAGGCAGATACTGGGGTAATATGACAGATCGACTGAGTCACTTCCTATGACTGAATGGGCTGGCCCATTTACAACTATATCGTCTTAAGAAGGACACCAGATCCACACTGATCAGAGTGCAGAATATGAACCTCAATAAAAAGCACACACCAGAGCACTCTCTAACTGCTTTAAATCTCCAAACTAACTCATATTCTCTCCATAGGAAAAGCTTAGTAAGAAGTCAGTACATTATTCCTTTATTATTGACGAAAAGACAAGATGAAATCAAACATAAATCAGTCAAAGAAAGCCTGTGAACTGCTGTTCAGAGTGAGCCACAGCTTCTCATGGATGGCTTGCAATAAAGAGCAGATAACCCTTCATAAACAAGGGAAGCAATCCGCCACGCAGCGATTTCGAATCACTTGGAGCTGCTAACAGCTATGGCCATTGTCATGAACAAGATACCAGGCAAGATGGACATCCTCTCAGAGCCAGCAGGGCAATTCTTACAGTCTTACTTTTTTTAATCAACTGCACCTTGAAATCGCTGATTTACTTCTGGGCTGAGTAATTTATCTACAGCAGCTCTTTCTTTTGTAGAGACATGTGACAGATGGAGGTGCTGTTCCTTTGCAGCCCAGAGCTTCCCTGTGTGCCAAGGTCTCCATCCTGCTGCCTCCAGGCAGCTCTGCAGAATTATTTGCAATTGCTATCTTTAGTGATTCATAACACTGAGGTCTGCGGTCCTCTGTACTAGGGCAAATGGCTCTGTTTTCTCACCATAGTTAAGCCTGTACCACAGGAGTCTGGATGGGATCCCTACAGCATTGTTATTTCTTGTTATGGTACTAGCGAAACAACAGGACACACAGTTTGAGGCCAGGTATTTTTGGCAGTCATGTTTTGTTCTTATACGCTCACACTCCCCCAGGATTATTCTCATGTAAGCTTTCAAAGGCCACTGATGACAAATGAGTCTCATCTTGCAAAGCAAGTACCTGTTACAATGAGACTAAACCCTTTCCTGGTGCAGCAAAGCAGTCATCATTTTGTGAACCTCCAGAAGCAGTACTTTAACCATGACTTCAACAGAGAAAGTCCTTTCTTCTCCTTTACTTTCACATTCATTTTTAAGGGATATATTTATTTTCCAGACCAATATGAACGTAACATTTGCACCAGCGTCAAATTTGAGTATTGGTAGAGAATTGGGGTGGCACAAAAGAGAGTGAAGTAAAATACTCTTAAACTCTATTCAGTAGCAGGCATCATGAAAGTTTGCCATTAGTAAGCTAGACCCTGCTGTCATTACTGCCTGAGCACATACCCACATAAAGAGTCCCACAAACATCGGTAGAATAGCCTGGTATGCAAACTAATTACAAAATAGATTGTATTATTATAAAGAACGTGAATAAAGGGTAGATTTGCCCCAAATCCCTTGCAGTTTAAATATGAGACAAAGACAGTAGGTAAATAAAGGCAGATGAGGAGAACAGGGAAGCGGCAATGCACTATTTTCCTGGCATACCATGTCAGCACAGAGAAAAGGTATCAGTCCTTTATCAGCTTAGCAGCTGTAAAACGCACAGATAATTTTTAAGAAAGATTCAAAGCAGGAAAAAAGGTAGCTTTGCAGATGCCTATCAGGAAAGTTTCATGAGGACAAAGAGCAGCAGGGGACAAAGCGTGCATTTGGAACAAAAGATGATGAAGACTTTTACTGCAGGGTGACTGGGGGCATGGGCTGATTTCTTTTTTCAGGGGAGAGACACCTGCAAAAACACATTTGCTGTCTGTGAGCAACCTAAGACTGCGTTTGCCAAGGTCAGAGAAGGGAATGCTGCAGTAATCAAGAAATGATAAGAGCCTGAATAAAAAATTCAGATATGTGGATGGATAGGAGATGCCATACTTTAAACATGCTATGCACAAAGCAAGTGGAAAATATATGTATAGCCTGTTTGTAAGAAATAAGGACCAAATCAAAGAGAATATCAGAGTCTGGTGAACTCTCAATGCCATTTGTGGGCCTGGATGTCAGATAGGCTAGAGATGTTGTCCACAGTGGTCAAAAAAGGGATGTAAGGAAGTGCTGGAGAAGAAAATTAATCAAGTGCTTCCTTTAAACAAGGAGAGCCATAATGCCTCAAGATAGCCTTCTAAACTATCTTAGAACAATGAATACACTATATATAAAACTAAAGAGTTCATAATTTTTAAGCAGAAAGAAATAAAAACAGAAGAATGCACTGTTAGATGCTTAATTTAGTGTGCAACCATTCATATCAGTAGAGGATCTGAACATACGGTGACTTACTGCTGGCTGGTGAACCTCTTCACTTGCTGGGGAGTATGTGGAGAGTTAGGGGGTCAGAGAGCTTAAATACTTCCTGCTCTCCATGTTGCTGAGCTACTAAAAGAAGCCTTTAGAGTCTGTAAAATTAAAACCCATATATTTTAAATGGATTCACAGGAGCTGTTTAAGAACTGAGCAATTGTTATCAGTGTCAAATTGCTTAGCTAAGCATTTACTGTCCAGTCCTTTGTTTCTGAAACTTATTGCATTTTAAACTAATCATTTATCCTGATGTATAGATACTTGCCTGAGATTATGAACGATGGCTTGACCAACCAGATCAACAATCCAGAAGTAGATGTGGACATCACAAGGCCAGACACATTCATTCGACAACAAATCATGGCCTTACGTGTCATGACTAACAAACTGAAGAATGCATATAATGGAAATGACGTCAACTTCCAGGATACAAGTAAGAAACCATTAACTCTCATTAAATAAGTATATTTTTGGAACATGTCTATAAATCGGTTCCACTGGAATAGCTTCCTTGTTTTTTGTACTCTGTGCTGCTGACAATACAAAACCAAGGCTTTTTCTGTCTAATGAAATTCCAGTTACGTATTTGTTTCTTTTGCTTCTCTTGCTTATCTTCATGTCAAATGCATCAAGATGCTGAGGGCTTTCCATAATGCCAGCAGTCTACATCTTTTTCAGAAAAGCATTTAAGCACCTCATTAAATCACAGTGGCTTTCACTTGGATGTTTTACTGAACGAAAGTTAGCACCACCAACACTTTCCCATTCCCAAAGGGTTCATGCCCACCACAGTGCTGGGTGGCATGGGAGCAGAGAAAAGGGACAAACACTGTAACACATGGCCCTCATGTTGTTTCTCTCACTCGCTTGTGCCAGGTGATGAAACCAGTGGCTCGGGCAGTGGAAGCGGCTGCACAGATGACATCTGTCCCACGGAGTTTGACTTCATCACCACCGAAGCACCACCGGTCGACTCCGACAGGAGGGAGGTGGAGGCTTCAGCCACACAACCTGGCTGGTCACTGCAGACGTTGCTTGTTGTCTTCCTCAGTCTCGTACTGCAGAGACAGTGGAGATAATCCCGGATCTGGTCAGAGAAACTGTGTTTTAGCTACAGAAACACTCAATTTGCTTCTTTTCTTATAATCTTGGACAATGGACCATGCCACAAACACTTGCCGTTTTCTATGAGAAGAGAGCAGTACTGCAACCTGCTTCCTGTTTTTGTTTTCCCAAAGAGTACCAGGTGCCAGACTGAACTGCTTCCTTTTTTCAGATGTCTCTGAAGACGATACCCACTCTTGAGAGAATTCTTTCTCAAACCTTTATTACTGGAGACTTTCTAAGCTTCATTTCCTTTTATGCTGCAAAAGTAAAAGGATCTTACAGTGTGTGTTTTCCCTAACGAGAAAATAGAAAGGGGGGAGAAAGCAAGAAAACAGTTTTCTTTCTGAATCAGGCCTGACTCAAGGCTGCTGCATTTCAACAGAATATCAACAACAAAAAAAAAAAGACAAGAAAGGAACATAAAAAAATGCAACCGTTCTTCACTGACAGCCAGGTTTCCTTTAGGAACTTCTGTAGGATGATTCAGGTCATGAAAATGATCATTGCTATAGGGAGGAAGTCTGGATTGTTTTTTTCCAACACGAAAGTACGTTTCAACAGTGAATGTCACGCACTCCATCTGCCAACCACATCAGATTGGTATGAACGTAGAGAAGCTGAAAAATAAGTTTATCTTTTAGTATGATAGTAACTCCACTAGCTTCAGAATATCATGTTACAGTTGTTTAGGATTTAAATCTTAATGCCCAGTAAAAAATTGAGTAGTAGCACGATTTCACCTAGCTTCTTTTAGTATTTATCCATGTTATACAATTGGCATAGATTTCCACTTAGCTCACCATCAGCCGTGGTGGTAATGCTAAACAACGCTCCTGACAAATCTCCCCTCAAGGGTTTGGAGAGAAAATAATCTCTTGTGATATAATCTCTTTCCTTTTGTCACTGTTCTGACATCTATTAGGACTTTCTGCTACTATGTTCATTATCCTACCAAGGTGGCAATTCTCTAACGGACTAACAGCGACCGGATCAATAATGTGTTTCACATCTAACTACATCTTTCATATCAGTTAATTTCAGTATCACAAGGATTTCTTCTACAAAAATTTCAGAACAAGCAAATATATAGTACTGACATGGAGATTTCTTTCACTTTTTTAGTCTTAGTATGATCATCTATTTTTATATATATAAATATATATAAATCACAGATTTTAACTTCTTACTTACAAGCTCAGGGTTGACACTTCTTTGTAAGAAAAAAAATGTTTGGTCAACCAGCTCTTCTTTTTTTGTGCTGCTCTGAAAAGTAACCCTTTAATGACTGGTGAGCACAAAAATCAAAGAAGAGAATTTTTTACATATCCAGTTGTCCATTTCTTAACAGGTTTGCAGGGTGGGGGAGAAAACCTCTCTCATATGTGTGTATTTGTAGGGGGCATGTGAGTTTGTGTGATAGGCCCAGAGAAGGACACGGATGATATTTGCGATGGCAATTGTACTCTCAGATTCTTCAAGGATACTTTGCTTTAATAATCATTGCCTAAATGACCATGGTCCTGGATAGAGTTTCCCTAATTTGCATCTGGTCGTAAGACCAAAGATGGAAGCTGTTTAAATCCTGGACAAACGAGCGACAAAAATTAGACATCAAAACCTTCCCTCTTCCATCAGCCACAGACAAAGGGCTCCTGGGACAATTCTGCGTGGCGTTGAAATGATTCGCCAGAAATTTATTTCCTGATTCTTACGGTGACTCTGGAAATGGTATAGACAAATTGTGGAAACACTGTAAAGCTGGCCAACCACATTACAATTTAACAGCAGAGCAGGTAGATCATATCCATTGCAATCTCTTTTTCTTGTCAAATTATAATTAGGTATCGATTTAGGCATGAAATTAAAGTAGAAAACACACAGCACGTTAAGATAAAGTATACTTACGCACTTTTACCAAAAAGTACTTACAATCTATCTATACAGTATCTCTAATAACAAAAGGCATAGGTTTTGAGCCACTTGTATTCCAATCCTTTTTTTTTCCCCCCTATTTTTTTGTTTATTTCAAGGTATAATGGTCTATTCTTCTGTGCAGAAGATGCTGGTAAGGTTTTCAGATCACACATGTCTTACACCAGCCTTAGCAGGGCTTCCTGATGCTCTGACAGCTCACTCCAGGGCAGACCTTGTGATTCAGCATTTAATGCCTTCAGGAAGTTAAACAGAACAGTTCAAGCCAATTTGCACAGGATTTTTGTTGACTCTGGTACAGCAGGTACAAAGCAGAGGACCTTTTCTTTGTTTTTTGGTGTTTTTTTTTTCTGAACTTGCATATGCAAGAGCCTTTTAAAACTCTCCCCAGTCCATCTCTTTCTACCCATATACACACCCTTTTTATGGTCCTCCTCCTAAGAAACCTTGTTTCAGGACAAGCTGAGTGTTGTTTTGATTTTTCCTGTAGTGCATTTATTCAGTGGTAACTGATACTGTTTCCACCTGATTATTCTGGATCTGAAAGCTTATTGACAGGTAATGAAATCCAAGCCCTCTGAGGCAAGGTCCCTGTTGTACCCGGTCCACAGTGCTGGTTAAGGAGCTGATGGACTCCTAGGGTCTTTGTGTCAGCCTTGGCCCACATTTAGGTGACCTGATGACTGTTTTTAGCTGGTGCAACCAAACCAGTTGCCCAGAATGCTTTCAGTTACATGCAGACCTCCATGGACTCATAGGCAAGGAGTAAGAGGGATGTCTAAGAACTACGGGATTTGCTGAAGGCTGTTCTCACGCAGGAAGGTCCCTGCTCTGCTCAGACTGGATCTTATGAAATGCTGGTGAAACATCAAATCAGACTAATCTTTGCCAAAATGTGGTTGTCTTGTGTGAGTTCTACCAGAAATTTATGTCTTCCATATTATTTCTCCTCTTATTTTCCTACTATGCATGGTTATACCTTGTCAGGAGATGGAGATGCCTTTGCATGAGGTATTAGACATACATTTATTTAATAGTCCCTAAAGATTGAATAGTCTCTTCATACATTGCATTTTTCTGAGATTAAGAGAGCTATTAAATGTACAGAGTAAATGAAATTGGGAATGAAGGAAAGAAAAGAAAGAGCATTTGTGTTCATAAAAGCGAGAATCTACATAATTTCGAATGCTTCCATTTGCACATCCTTTATGTCCAATAATTCTTCTTCTAAGGTAATTTTTGGTGTGCCACAATTTAAATATTTCTCTTCTGTTGGCAGCTGGTAAAGTAAGAAATGATAAAGAAGACAATTACCTGTTAAAGAAAGAGGACCTAAGTCCGAAGAAAAAATAATTTGATTTTGTAAACCCTTTGCACTCTGCAATCCAGAAGTTCTTGCCATTTTATGTCCTTTTACAGTGGAGTCTCTTAAAAATTAGACGCAATGAATGACATAACCAGTGCTGTAGACCCTTGTGAGGTTTTCCATTTTAATATTAATTAAACTGATTTTACATTGTCCCCAAATTTTTGGTGTTTGCTGTACTGCAGATTTTTCTAGTGATGACTCAGTACACACTACTGTTAACTGCAGTGCAGACTACTTGAGCGCTGGCTAAGTTTAGGTTTTTCAAAAAGAGACAATCCAAAAGAATTGAAAAGAGAGGGTAGAGATTTCCTGCTGAAGAGGAAGAGCAGAGGAACCTGTTCCTTGGGGCTCTGGTAAAGGCTGATCTATCCCAATTCTCTAAGAGGCATCGCAGAGCTCTGTCCATGGAAAGATCCCAAAATACGAGTCTCACTCATGCAAATCATCCCATGATTTTCTGCATGATCTTTAGGAAGGATGACTACAGCTGTGCATTCCCACAGGTGTGTGACCCAGTTTGAGCTGCTTCCATGCAAAATGGCTGGGAGCTAGAGCTGTTCTTGGGAGGTGGACTGTGCATGCAGTGTCTCGGCAGGCAGCAGTGGCCATCAGTTTAATAACCGACCCTGAATCATTATCAAATGTAACCATACTTATTCAACAAGACTTTTTTCATTACTTCAACATGAAAAATAAATTACAGCACTGATGCAAGTTGTGGTTTTTGTTTTTAATTTACCTCCAAAGATAATCCATTACAATGAATACAGAAAGTTATAAAGTGATTCTACTGGGAAAATCAGGTTTCTGCAGATTTCATTATGGAAATGAATGTCTGGACAGGCCTCAGATATTCAGAAGAAATCCCCATTTCAAAGACCATAAAGTTATATTTACTAAATTTACCCATAAATTTTCAAACCTGCTTGATGAGAATGAATAGAGTTACAACAGTGGAACATCACATAGAATTGCAAAATCCCTAATTTCAAAGGGAAATCCAACAGTCAAAGGCTAAGACTTAGATGTGAGGCTGAGAATATTTTGTCAAAACACAACTGACACAGCAATGTGTACACAAAAGAAAATTAGGGTAGGTGATGACTGGACAGGGCAATGTTCCATTACAGCTACTCACATGGACTGTGAGGATTATATTAATGTGTGTGATTGTTATGACTCTTTGGTGAAACAATGATAAAGACTAGAGAATCATGGTAAGGGGGTACTTGAAAGATAAAAAATATGACACTAACCATTTTTTCATTTGTTAAACATCATAGGAGACCTAATGGAGAACCACGAACTTTGAAACTGGTTTTAAAAATAAACTTCTAGCACCTAGCAAGGGAGATGGTTAATTAATTCTCCAATTAATTCAGTCAGAACATTTTCCAATAGTCTATACTAATTCAGTCCATTTTTCTGAAAGCTGTTCATACTGGATTTCTTTCTGACTCTCAATAAAACAGCAATGTTCTCCATAAAAGAGGTGACATTTGCATCCTCACCTGTAAGTTTCCAAACTTTACTCTTAGCAGTCACAGTCTTTCTGCCCAGCTTCCCCACAGCCAAGGTCTCTGGACTGTCTAGAAGTTGAAGAAAGTCACTTAAGTTTGTCCATAGATAAAAGTCTACATGGTTAAATCAAACCATTTCAAGAAAATGGGCCAGTATTTCAAACAGTTCTCATTTCACCTTCATTTTTTATCATGCAGCATTGATACTTAACAGTGTAACATGCATGATAGGTTTTTATCTCATGGTGCACTGGGAAAAAAAAATCTCTTCTTGCTTTTCCTCCTTTACTCCAGCAACAGGAAATCTGTGAGGCTTAAAGATTTAAGGACCAGGCAGCACCCAGTAGTGTAGTTTGTTTATTAAACTAAGAACAGCTATATTACCTAAAGAAGTTGCCTTTTTTCTTGAGAGGTGTTAGGGAAAGGGAGTACCCATTTATCATTAGCAAAAAAGAGGTACAGAATGGCAACGATTTATCTTAGGTATAGTGGGGTACCATCTGTCAATATCTCTGACATCCTTTAAAGCCAAATTTCCGGGGAAGACAAATCTAATTCCTCTAAAATAGAAATCACTTTGATTGTCTTCCTTGAAAAATATATAAAGTATATGGCTTTCAGTTCTAAGTTGTTGAGGGAGCTGGAAAGAAATTTTCCTTCTGCAAAATAAGAGGCTAGCCATTTAGACAGCTCTGCTGCTCTCAGCTCCTGGAGCTGCTTTTCTATCTCTCCAGGGCTCTGCCAAACTGCCATGCAGATCACCTGAAGCAAGGAGCCTCCTGGGCAGGCAAGCCAACCCTGCCAATGGTGGAGTTTGTTCTTCCAAGACGGTTAGAGACACAACTGAGGGGAGAGGGAAGCAGCAACTTCGCAGTGAGACCCAGCAGATGTATGATCTTGGGGGACTAACAATAAAATCGCGTGAGGGACAGGTGGTGCTCCTCACTGCTGTCCAGCTCTTCCTTTAGACCTACTGTCTGTGAATTTTCTGTGTAATCTAATTATAACCATCCACTTGTCTACATAGCAAAGAACCAAACATTTCTTCAGAAGTCAGTGGTGTTTCTGTAGTCTGCTGTTCTCTCTCTTTTCTCAGTTCCCAGGGTAATTATGTACCTTTGAGTGTGTGAGGAAGAACTTATTACCTGAAACAGATTTCTATGTCCTTTTTCCTAAAAATATACAGTATTTAGGCACAAAAGTCCTTCACATCTTTCACAGAACTGACTTGATTCCACTACACCTCTACTGAGTTTTCTTCTCCTCCTTTCTTGACCTGAAGAGGTCACTCATGGGGACTTCGAAGAAAGCCGACTCTAGTCATTGTTTCTGTAGAGGTCTCCCACATTCCACTAAATACCCCAAACACCAGGTTACAGGTGAGCTGTGCTCTTTCTCCCTGGCTTCTCTCACCCCAAAGTTTCATCCTGGGCCTGAGAAATTATCATGAGTCTGAAAAATTCTTCCAAAGTTTTGTCAAAGCCAGTGCATTCCAGAGGATAAAAAAAAAAATAATAAAAATTTGGCAGATCTGTGTTTCCTGATGATAAATATTTCTAACTAAAGCTTCCTGTGTGGCTCTCTTCCTCCTGTGTGCTAGACATCTCATCTGTCTTTGAGTCACAGTGTCCCTTGACCACGTTCTTCTCCAGGCTGAGCTGTCTTTTCAGTCATTTTTAGCTCACTGGATTTTCTGTCTCCCTTCCTTATATCTCTGTGCCTTTGGTATCATTTAATGCTTCTCTTTTCCGTCAGAGGATGTAGCAACCAAGAGATTTGGTCCACTTATTTTTTGGTTTTGTCCAAGTTTTATCAAACCCCACCTTTAGCTTTTGTTCTTTACTCTAAACATATTCTGACGGGTGTACATTCTTTATCATCTGAAAAAATAATCCTGATAACTCTTTTTTCAGTCTAGTGTAATATTAAAGCTTGTAGAATACATTTTGTCTCATTCATTCAATTGTTTCTTCCTTGTAACTATAGCATACAGTTTGTATTTTGCTATCATCTGCTGGGCTGATGAGCCAGCAAGGCCAATGGCAAAGAATTTGTGGATTTTCTATAGCAAGATTAACTAGACAGGTAACCATCAAGAAACATTTCACATCAGTTCTTTAATTGATTGGTTTGAGGTTTGGTGTTGTATTATTATTTTTTTTTCCCTTTTATTTTATTTTAACTTTCTGGGCTTCATTTGACTTACCTCCACATCGGCTATGTGTTTACTACATTATATGCATATAACATGATTAGAGATGTACTGATTCAGTCTTTAGAGAACTCAGATTTATTTTGGGGAGTTGGTCAATCTTAATCTGCTTCTGAGAGCTATGACGATCATTCTTAAAAATCTGCCCAAAGAGAAGTCAGAGGAGTTCAGATTTCAGCTTTATGCTATCAGTTGAGTTTGAGGCTGCAAGAATATTTTGTAAACAATTTGTGAATATATGAGTGTACATGAGGGAGAAGAAGGGAGCACTTGCATCTCCAAAACACTGGGAAGCTTTTTTTTCAACTTTTACCTAATCTGAATGCAAATTTACAATTTGCATTCAGATGTTCAAGGATGTCAAACTACATAAATTGATGAACGTTTATATACCAACTCCTCCTAGGTTACTTTGTTTTGTTGGTAAGCAATAACATTTAATTTCTAATAGCAATTTTGTTACATTTAGCAAATTCAAAGAAAGTATGTTGTTTAAGTAGGTCAGTTGTCTTGATTTGGATATCAATTGACATTTATACTTGCTTGTTAAAATTTTATGACTCCAGACGTATGAACATTGCTTGAAAGCATGCAAATTGTTAGCTCTGGTTTTGATGCTGAAATTCTAGATTAGTATTTCACCTAGTTAAATGTGAATTTATAAGGGTGATATTTGAATGCAAGTCAAGTTTAGAATAAAATTGGTTTTAGATAGAAATAAGGTTGGGTTGATAAATCTCATTAAACATTAAACCTGCCAGATCTGATTTTAATATATCAGCCTAATGTGACACAAAAAACCCACCCACACATGTTGTCTATAGATCATACCTGAAACTAAATGGTACAGCTTCTTTTTTAGGTAAGTTCCAATCAAAATGAAAGTTAAAGAAAAATCTCAAATTCTCTGATCTCCAAATGCTACTTTCAAAGTTACAGTATTTAGCAGCATATGGTAACGTGTGTGTATATATATACATATAAAAATATGGCAGTGTAGCAAGACAGAGTTTGAACTTTTAAGGAAAAGATTCTTTATGGCTTTGTAACTTCAGAGAAGTGATGTACCATGGACAGATATAGAAAAATGTGCACAAACATTTTGATACGCTTGTGAAATAAGTTTCACAGAGCCCAATATTTTTTGTGTAAAATGCCTTAAATCACTTTCTGTAGGGCTAATGCAATTGAATTTGTTGCTGTATATAGCCTTTTATAATAATTACTTCGGATGCAACACTAGACTTTTCTTTCCACTACAATCATACGCAGCCTTATGATTGCTAACTACAGTAGACAGACTATGAAAGCTCTGCTTTATTAGCTGTAAATGCACTTTTGGTCCACTTGTAGACTTAGAGCTTGGACGTGAGACGAGGTGACAGTGCTAATAGTACTGAGACCTTCTTGATGGGCAATCCCTACATTCTCTCAGGCTTGAAATCATTTCCCAACAACTCTTTTTCCTCTCACCCCATCTGTCTTCATGAGGTTTTCATGACGCTCTGTCTTAGGAACTTGGGTCATCCCACCTAGCACTGGGTGCTTCATGGAGCATGTTGCTCAGCAGGGTTGTCTCTCTAGGTCTCTGCAGTTAGTCAAAAGAGACAGGTACCTCCGTATCTGGGGATGGGGGCACACCTCTCTTTCCTGCACAGGCAGCCTGGGATGACAGGCTTGTCATTTAGGCATCTCACTTAAGTGCCTGGAGGTAGATGCCACTGGTGAGACTGGGAGGAACCAGGCTTCGCCCAGACTCTCTCCTGTCCTTCTCCTTGTTGGCACAATAGTGCCTCTTCTTCATGCCAGTGCTGGGCTGAGGAGCCTTGAGAGGGATCCCACCCGGGGAAGTCATAGTCTAAGAACTTCATTCTGGGCCAAACCAACCCTGATGTAACCAGATATACAACCAGCATGCATTCATTGTTCTGAATGCTGCTTAATGCTGTTATGTTTATATCCTTCCTTATAAGACATTTGAGCCTGTCAACTTCCCTAGCTACGAACATGCAACGCAACTGCCTTCAATGCATCCTGTGCACAAAGGATGGAGCTCAAACAGGTCTCTCCTGAAATCCCAGATGCCCTTGCAAGGCTGGTGAAAGCAGCGCGAAGGGCTCAAGCCAGCTCAGAGAGGCAGCAAGGAGTAAAGTCCACATCACCGAGGGGCAGAAAACAGATTAATACAGTGCCTCAAGAGTGAGAACACCGATAAAGATACTCTTCGGGTTTAATCACTAATGCACTTGGTTGGTTGTCAGTCTCAGCGCCTACTGAATCAATGCAAGGAAAATAGACATTTTCTAAGAGGTCAGTAGAAAGAGCAAGGTTAATATGCACAGGTTAATGCTGGCAAACCGCTAACACACCTTTTGCAAAATAGCTAGTTGTGTCAGAAATCAACTTTTTAGAAGCTGAAAATAATGCAGTGCAGCTTCCTCTGTATCCCCCACCATCTCTTGGGACTCCATAATGAGGAAATCCTTTTTCTTTCCCCAGCCTCCTTTGGGGGTTAGTACTTGAATGTGGCAGAAACCAAAAGCCCTAGTTGTGAAGCACTCATTCAGTGTCCGATTTTCTAGGTCTCCTGCTCTTCTGCTTTGTTTTCCTTTTTACATTTCTGACAATGGCACACTCACATAGCATCTGTGAGTGTGCATCTCTCTCCTTGATATATATTTATTTACACATATACATGCATATGTATCTCCATAAATACAGCTACAAGACAGTAAATTCCAAGTGCATATGGTATAAAAGAGTATTGGAAGGACTCCATTTACCACAATACTGACACAGACCTAACAAGAAGAGTCCCAGGCAAAGACTTCTGCTTTAAAGATGATTGTAGCTTGTGTTTCTGTAAGCGTTGCTGCAATTTTCTGAAATAACTGTGGAAAAGGGTGAGTCTGCAGATATTATTTGGCAACATCTGCTGGTGCTAGTAAGGAAAATGTGAAAGATGACAACTATCCAGGTAAAAACAGCAACCTAGATGGTATCTCATTCACAGTATTTTTGGGGTTTTACTGATATGAATTTCATTATTTCTTGTTTTTTGTCTGAACACATAAAATCTTGTTAAAGCTCATTGAGCTTTTCAGAACCCCCACCTCCTTCCTCTCAGGCTACAATAACAGCTAAATGATGACTTTTCTGTATTTATGAAAATGTCTTCTTCAAAAATGAATTGGGTGAAGTACTGATGATCAAAACTGCCGTCCTATTTGGTGTTTGTGTTAAAAATGAGATTCATGATCCATGGAAAGAGGCTCTTACTTCTAATGGTATCATCTGACCCCTTTAACTGAATTACAGATTTATAATTGGACTAACACTGTCCGTCACCCAAGAATGACATGACACAACAATACCCGATGGATTACTCCTGCAGCCACTGGGTCTTTTTCATTACAGCTTTTCTTTCCACACACTTTCCTCCACAAAATTTTGATTAGTAGAAATGCATTCAAATTTCCCTGTGGATAAAAAGCAGGGAAGTGTTTGACATTTTCATGACAATCATCTCAGACGGGACTGTTTGGCCCATTGCTTTTCCATTTCCCCATGAGTCTTTACTAAGTCCAGTGCACAACAGTTAATGTGGTTTTCACAAAACACTGATCAGTACTGTAAATACCATTTCTTCCCTCAAGACTTGTAATGAATTCTGTGTTTCTTAAGCTTGTTTCTTTCACAATTTGTCATGTCAAGGATGTTAAAGATGATATTTGGAAATCACAGAACAGTTAAACCATAAACTGCTGTGTTCCTGTCCATTAATAAGAAAAGTTTGACTGCAGGGATATTTTGTTGGAAGGGTTGTATTAACAGTCATTTACATATATATATATATATATTTGTAGTGCTGCATCTGCTTCTTTCATGTACCTTAAAATTACTACCAGATAATGAATGACCTCCTTTTAAAGTCATTTTTTTGTAACGCATCTTCCTGAAATATAGGCATTAGAAGACCTTGCTGCTCAGCCAAGGCAATTTTGCCTGGTGCAATATTATGTTACTAGACAAAGGCATTTGAAAAAGGCCATACATTTTATTTTCTAAATCAATACTTTCTTTTGCTGCCTACTGAAAAATCCTTTTTAGTGCTTACAACACACTTGAGAGTTAGGATAGGATTGTAATATTCACTAACAGACTGAGACAATACCTAGCATTCTTAAAGATTAATTTTATTTGCCCTGCCTTTTGCCTGCAAATGTTATCCACGTAATGCCTTTCAGACAGATTGTACCTTGTTAGTTTCCCTGCTTCATAGCATACATATATTAATGAATACGTATTTTCATTGACAACAGTGTAAGGCAAGTTATTTCTCTCATAGTGTTATTCTACTGTTTATTCATGTGCATATTTTAAATTTGCAATGGCTTGTTGGAAAGTCTAATTGATTGTCACTGATTACTAGCCAAAGTTTTGCTTTTGTTAAGACACCATTACATAAAATTGTGATCATTACCTGAAAGTTTAATTCTGATTATTAGGTCTTAAGGATACTCTTTTCAAAATCACAGCAAACTATTGTCAAATCTCCACAAAAACATGGTGTTAAAAATGTTAGAAAACACAGTTTTACCAATTGTCTTTATAATGAGAAATAAAGAGTCTTTTCTCAGTTAAACAAGAAGGTATATTGACCTTTATATTAATCTTGCCGTAATTGGACTGGGAAAGTATAGAATCCTCAACTAACTATTTCTCCGTGCAGAAAGTGCAATATCTCCACTAAAAAATATCAGACTGCTTGTCAGGAAAGTCTTACTGATGCAACACACAAAGTCATATGCAGACCATCTACTATAGGTATCCAGTTGCAGCAGCTGCTGTGGCGTACAATGTCAAGAAAGCAATGAGGGAGTCAAACTATCTGGCACCCAATGCCATGAGATCTCAACTGTCTACACTATCAACAGACAGAAACAGGGAAACGCATTCTCTCCACCTGTAGGTGCATATGTTATATGTTGCTCCTACTTCTCTCCGTTGACAGCACAGAGGATCCTTGGTCTGGCGTTACAGTATAATGAGCCCTGTGAATAATTCATGACTGTCTTCAGCTTAGAAACCATTATAGACATGCACAGTGCCGTGGTAGGTGGTTTGCACAGGCCATTAATCCAAGTATTAAAGACAGGTGATCAAAAGTAGTCATTTATGGTGAAGTAACTATTCTCAAGGTGTATGGATCAGGAATCCCCAATGTAACTTCTTTCAATCCAAAGTTTAAAAGTGTTAGAGCAATCTGGACAATGCAATTTGTGCTGAGGACTATGCAATGGAGGATCAGAAATGCCTTCCCCAGCCTCTCTGGTCTTCCTTCCACTGAAGCTAGTGAGAGTTTACCATGGGCTCCAGAACCAGGAGAAGCATATCTAACAAGTTTGACACCAACCGTTCAAATTTGCGTTTATATCTTCAGTGTCCATCTCTAAAACAACACTAATGACACTTATTTTATTAGTTCGTAATTACAGCAGTATTAAAGTGTGGGGTGATCTTTTACACTGTTGCTTAATATTCAGTACTGTATGTATATATATACTTGACACCTCAGTGAAGACTTTGACATGCCTTATTCATTCTAGTTATTTTTATGGTATTGGTTTTGTTAGATTGCTTTACCATATAAAGAATAAAACTATAACTGCTCTGACTTAAAATTGTCCAATGCATTTTTATCCAAGATGCGTTGAAAAAATCTAAATCATGTTCATCAGTTCTTCTCATTCTCATCACCCTTCACTCACACCATGAAGGCAATGTATATTGGTGGTTTGAAAACAGGGATTTGATATTCTCTGATGGACTACAATAAATATCTGAAGTAAGCACCTGCCTCGTGTCTTGTGGTTTCTTGGCTGCAAAATGAAAAGTGCTCTCTGCAGGCCAGCAATGCTAATGCCATGATTGTCAGCTACTGCAGAATCATGAGGTAAAATGAATCTAAAATAATTTATGAGAAGTTCATTCTACGGCATTTTTTCCCAGCTATATTTATGTGCCAGGCATGTTCCCTTAAAATCTGTCAGAGAAGTGAAGAACATTGTGGAAGTGTCAAAAGTCACGACATCTAAGGGTGAAATTTCAGGCAGAACTTATTTACTTATTCTCTTGCAAAAGGTGAGAGCTTTCTGTGACTATACGTAAGGTATTTTTTAAAATTATACTCCATTGTTATTTTGACTTACTTATTAGTTCTAAAGTCAATTTGATTTGGAGCTAATGAAGTGGTAGCATTTTATTGCAATTGTTGAACACTATGTTTTTTTACATAAGACTGCCCATGATACAGGAGTTTTTAACATGAAAATCATCCTTCTTCTTTAAGAAATGTGGGATCTGTCAAATTAAAGGCGTCTGTTTCTCTGTTTTAATTTCACTTCTTTGAATTCCTGCAGTGGAGACTAAGATTTCATACCAGATTTTTGAACTGTCAATACAGCCCTTTTGAAATTTTTCTGTTGATTCAGTTTTAAGCTTAAGGATTTTGTTCAGCTGCCTACATATTGCTGTCTGGTGTCACATGAAACAAGTTAGGCTAGCCAAGACATCTGCCCAGAGCCAGAAGACATGACACAAGATCTGCAGAGGCCCTGCACCCTTCCATACTGACAGCTAGACAACCAGGTGGAATGGTCTCGAGAACCTCAAATGAAACTAAAGGCCTAACTTTAGGCAACAGAATTAATTTCCTAAATTTGGGTGAGCTGAATCTCACCTTAACCTGGTGCAAACCTAGGTTTGGGCAAACTGAATCTCACCATGAGGCAGGGTTTTGTTGTCTAAACAGAGCCATCATTGCCATTCTGGGTACTGCAGGGCTTGGTTCAGCCGCCCACTGGGTTTGTTGTATATCTTGTGTCTACATCTTCTAGTCCCACTCACTAAGCCTTGGATTTTCTAGGGTATCCAAAATGGCACTGAATACTTTCATGGTGCTCATTGAGTCATGGCTTGTATTGCATCCAAAATACCTGCATGTAGCTGGTAAATATGCAGAGCAGCAAGAAATCTATGTGTTTCTGGGGCAGGGGCTGGAGCCAAATCATGGCACCGCTGGGTATCTCCAAAGTTTCTTTTGGTTTTTTATCAGAGTTATGTTGATGGTTGGACTAGATGATCTTAAAAGTCCCTTCCAACCCAGACGATTCTATGATTTTATGATTCCATTACCTTTCCCTGGGCACCCACACTAACTGTTTAAGACAGATAAAGCCTGCTACCTTCTGGGAGCATCTGTCACTGAAATGAGAGATACCAGCTCATTTTAAAACAATATTCGTGAACAAATTGTTTGGGAGCAGGTTTGGAAATGTACTCACTTGCTTAGAGCGGACTGCTGTGTTCCCCATTCTGCATCAAAGCACTGAGTTTTCAAACAAAACAAAAAAAAATATTTTGCAGTTTTCAGCCTCTGAAGAATTATTTCCAGGTTCTAATAGTTTTGCAGTATTCTTTACATTGTTAACAGAAGACAAACCTTGTTGTGCATGTCTCATGCTATACAAGGAGGAAAAAAGCAATTGCTTATCATAGAAGAGCTTACTGGAAGCATCAATTTAAAATTCTGCCCCTTGCCTGAAGAGACATTACCTGCAATGGTGCATAGAGTCTTCTGTGAATCATGGAAAATCTGACAGTTAATAACTCCTTTTAATTATTATTCTTTTCTCAGGCATTTACCACAAGGTTCTATTAATTAATGGTGCCTTGCTTTAAATCCTGCTGGAACAGAATGAAAATGTGAATTGCTAGAGATTTGATTCAGTTAAGTGTCCAAATTCAAACGCCTATTCAAACACCACTGAATCCCTTTAGTCTAGAAATACTATGATGACCATTTTCTCTGCCAAATTTATGATATTTGTTTCATGACTGCAGGAAACGTTGCAAGTCTATTATGATTTTTTGTCTCATCAGAATGCAAATAAAATTCAAGGAGAATGAAATGTGAGAAAGTATTTTAAAAAGTGAAAATATAACTAGCTAACTGTTTGAAAACAACAGATGTTTTTATTTAAATGGCAAGCAAAGGTTCTGGTCTGTTCTTTTACATTTTAGAGATGATATCTGAAAACCAGCCTAAGCACTGAATTGATATTGATATACTAAGTTCTGAGTCTTTGTTAAATTTATTAGCAAACTCTTGGTTTTATACACTATTGAATGTATTATCATATTTGCATCTGTGACATGCATATCCATTCACTTGAAGGTGTGGGTAGTATAGGTGGCAAGCATTAAGAAATCAAATCAACTGTTGTCACTAATCCAGTAAAAGATGTAGCCTAAGAAAATGTTTTCTGCTGCATTGCTAAGCTCAGACATACCAGAGAGCTATCAAATAAGGATGCCAAGCTAATACAAAGAATGTGCAGGTGTCAAGTATTTGCAACATAATGAGGAAATGGTCTGAAGCTGCGGCAGGGGAGATTCAGATTAGATATTAGGAAGAATTACTTTACTGAGAGAGTGGTCAGGCACTGGAACGGCCTGCCCAGGGAGGTGGTGGAGTCACCATCCCTGGAGGTATTTAAGAAACATGTAGACATGGCTCTTCAGGGCATGCTCTAGTGCCCAAGATTATTGGTTTGTGGCTGGGTGTGATGTGGTAGGGTGTTGATTTGTGGTTGGTTTTTTTCGTTTGGGTTCTTAGTTTTTTTGTTGGTTTTTTTTGGTGGTTGGACTCGATGATCTCAAAAGTCCCTTCCAACCATGATGATTCTATGATTCTGTTTTGTACAGCTGCAGGTGATGGATGGTGGTCGCTTCTGAGATCACCTTCACCTGACCAAGTCCGACCCACGGGAGGGAGTGCAGGGCTGGGCAATCCACATGGCCCAGGATGGGACAATGAGAGAGCATTAAAAATATGAGGGACTTGAAGAAAACAATCCAGCTTTGATGCTTGTAATTACCACAAACACGTTGTTTGATGAGTATAGGATAGAGGGGAGAGGAAAACACGAGAAGTCCAGGAGCCACAGAGTAATAGAATTAAGAGGAGAAATTTTGTGCCTGCATTGCCATGTCCCAGGTGCAGGATCCTGCGCTTGGCTTGGTTGAACTTCATGAGGTTTGTATGGGCCCATCTCTCATGCCTGTCCAGGTCCCTCTGGATGGCATCACTTCCAACTGTTCATTAGATGTTAAAAACTTCCATCTTTAACCGTAACCATGACTATACTTAACTGAGAGTACATACAATACAAATAGTTAGTACATGGAAGATCTATTTGTGCTACACATTTCATAGTTCTTTTTAAAAGTACAGCTAGGTTTAAGCCTCATTCCACCTTCTCCCACTGTTACGAATATTAATAGATAAGTTAGAGGAGGGTGAAATAGATATATGTGTAAAGCAAGGCAGAAATAACCAAAAGAAAAAGGCAAGCAATGTGGAAGAGAGGAGAAAAACTAGTGAAGTCTCTGGAGGAACCAGCAGAGATGGAATCTCTGGGCACCACCCAGCAGAAAACATACAGCTGGGACAATTCCTGCACTGCAATGGAAACATGCTAGAAATTCAAATAGGCTTTTTTCTTTTGTTCCTTTTCTCAACTGTTGTGAAGCTTGGAAAACTTTGTTTCCCAACTCAGTAATTTTTGCTGCATATATAGTTAC